AGAGAGGCTGGAGGCGGGTTCCCCTGAGGAACCCCTTCCCGCGCAGGTGCAGAGCGGCAGGAGCCGGGCTCTCCACCGACTGGCCTGCCGGGCACCCGAGGGAAGGAGGCCGCGAGGCTGACGGGCGGCGGGTTGGTGCGGCGAGCGCTCCCGCAGATCCGCGGGGTGAGCCGGAACCGGGCGGAAGCCGGGCGAGGGTCCGACCCGTGCCTGCTCGCTGTCCTCCTGGCTGCCCTGAGCGCCCGGAGACCCGGCTCCTTCCCACATGAGGGGGTCCGCCCAGCGCAGCCTCCGGAGCACACGGTGGCGGGGGGGGGGTGCTGGGTGTGGGGGCGGGCACGGACCCTGCTGGGTGTGCTGTGTGACCCCAGGGTCCGGTGTCAGGGTCGTGGGTCGCCGGACCTGTGCGTAAGTCTGAGCTCTGCCGGCTGCAGGGTCCGGGAGAGCGGGGGTCACTGCGGTGACTGCGGATATGTGCGCCCCCAATGCGGGAATGGGGGTGGGGGCCCGGGGCCTCCGGGGTCGGAGTGGACGTGCGACCCCCACTCCCCCACCCCGGAGCAGGAGCTCCGAGACATGGAGTCAGTCTGGGTCAGAGTGGACGTGTAACGCCCCAGGTGCCGGGTCTGGGAGATTGAGGGTTACTCTGGGTCAGAGTGGGCATGTGACCCCCCCAGGAGCAGGGTCTGGGAGATTGCGGGTCACTCTGGGTCAGAGTGGACGTGTGACCCCCAGGTGCAGGGTCTGGGAGATTGGGGGTTACCCTGAGAGTGGACGGGTCACCTCCTGTAAGTGCAGGGTCAGGGTATGCTCACGTGACCCAGGGTCCCCTGTCCGGGAGCAGAGCTCCATATCGTGATGGTGGGATGGATCCAGACCGGGCCTAGCATCTCACCCTTTTTCCCGTGTTCTTGTCTTGAACACAGCAAAATGACTTTTACCCCATCGTGGGGCCGGGGCCCTTCTGGAAGAGGTTTCGGGTGAACTTCTGCGAGTTCACGGAGCTGCTGGTGCACCAGACACACTCCTCGGTGCTGTGTGACGGTCACCTCATGGACACGGTCATCGGCATGCTCAGTGGCCTCACAAACTCGGCCGTGTACAGCCTGCGGCACACCAGCTCCCTGGCTGGTGAGACACTGCATCGGGCCCCTGCCCCGGCTTTTGCTGACTTGGGGGCAGGCTGGGGCCGTGGGGGCAGGGACCAGAGGACATGGGGGTAGGGGACATGGGGCCAGGGCCCACAGGGGCAGGGGCCACGGGACCCAGGGAAAGGGCTGTGGGGCTGGGGCAGTGGCCATAGGGTCACAGACATGGGGGCAGGGGAGATGAGACACAGGGGCAAAAGCCGTGGGAACAGGGGCACGGACTGTGGGGGAAGGGACCATGGGACACAGGGCCGGGAGCCACGGGACACGAACACAGGGGCAGGGGCCTCAGCCTGGGCTTCTGCTGTCCCAGGGCAGATGTCCACACCCGGGCCTGCCCTGTGCTGGCTTGCAGGGGGCAGAGGCTGCTGGCCGGGTGGTCACCAGGAGCTGGAGGGGATGGAGAAGCCGTGGAGGGACGTTTGCTTCACAGAGGGACTGGGTGGCGAGTGGCACAGAGTTGTCCCTGTACATGTTCCACAGCAGAGGCTGTGGCAAGGCTGACGTTGGACAGAGGGTGGGCTCTTCAGTCCCAGGGCCGGCCCCCCAGGCATGTCCTGTGCCTCTGTCCCTACGAGAGACCCCAGGCCAGCCCCCACGGTCATGTCTTATCTGTCTGTCCCCATGAGAACCTACCCTAGCGTGTCCTGTCCCTCCGTCCCCACGAGAACCCCCAGGGCTGGCCCTCCTGGGCATGTCCTGTTTCTCCTATACCGGGGGTATTAGGTTTTCTAAGTGAATAATTCTACAAATCGGGTTACCGGTTGGCTGTCGGTACCTGGTCTGTCTTTTCCACGAACACGTGCGGAGCGGTCAGTGCCAGTTTCTCCCTGAATGGACGCTGAGCGGTCGGTGCTGACTGGGGGACTTGCTCGGAGGCCCGTGGTTAGAGGTCCTGTGCTTTTTGCGTCCTTACGGGAGGTGCAGCGGCCATGGACGTAGCCGTCTGCGGAGTGATGCTCACACAGAAACGTTTGTAAGGGAGTGTCAGGATCTTTGCACGGACCTGTTGGGAACCACGAAGAAGTCCGGAGTTTGTGATGAGGAGGCTGTGGAGGGATGTGTCCCCCGGGGACTCTGGTCCCATGTCAGACAGGTCCCTGAGGATTTAGGGCTCTTTCCATGTGTGTGTCAGGGTGTCTCAGCCACACAGTGGTTCCGTGTGTCTCGTTCCCATGTCTGGGTCTGCAGGGGACACGGTGTGCATGGTGCCACGTGCCCCGGAGCTGGCGGGGGGGTGTCCTGCACGTGAACTCTGACCTTGGACTGCTGGTCCTGAGACGCCACGTGTCCCGGTCGCGGCGAGGTTCCTTGGGCATTTGCAGCCTGCTGAGCTGGGGTTGTTCAGCTGAAGCCCGGTTCCTGCTGTGGTCCTGGCCCCCTGTCCCTCTGAGACCATTTCCCACCTGGTGGAATTCTGCCCGCTCAGGGCACAGACATGACCTTGCCTCTGGAAAGGTGGTGGGTTGTGTCCATGCCCTGGGGACGCTGAGATGTGTGCTCGGGTCCGCGTGCACGGTCATCATGTGGGGGAAACCGTACGCAATCTTGTGACCCAGCAAGGGGCAGGACGCAGCGGCCCTCCCAGCCTCCCGACCTCCCAACTACCCCCAGACCCCCTCTGAGTGCTGCAGAAGGGTCCCTCCTGTGGGAGGTGGAGCCCAGCACGGGCTCATAGCTGGGGGTCCCAGCCCCAGGGTCACAGCCCCGCTCTGCTGGCAGCCATGAAGCTGCTGACGGCACTAGCCAGCGTGAACCAGGGCATCTGCACGGGCAGGCGCACAGCCCAGCGGTTGTACGAGATCGAGAGCATCACCAAGCTCAAGGGGAGGCACAAGTACTACATGGAGCTGCTGGACCAGCGCAGGCACCAGGTGCAGGAGCGTGGGGGGGATGCAGGGGTGTGGAGGGGGCAGCATGCGGGGTGGGGAGGGAGAGAGGGATGGGGGGGACACGAGTACTACATGGAGCTGCTGGAGCAGCGCAGGCACCAGGTGTGGGAGCTTCGGGGGGGGATGCAAGGGTGCAGAGGGGGCTGTGTGCAGGGTGGGGAGGGACAGATGGATGGGGGTGGGGACATGAGTACTACATGGAGCTGCTGGAGCAGCGCAAGCACCAGCGTGGGGGGGGTGCAGGGGTGTGGAGGGGGCTGTGTGCAGAGGTGGGGAGGGGGACCCGAGTACTACATGGAGCTGCTGGACCAGCGCAGGCACCAGGTGCGAGAGCATGGGGGTGGGGAGGTAGGGGTGCGGAGGGGGCTGTGTGCAGGGGTGGGGAGGGAGAGATGGAGGAGGGGACACAAGTAGTACATGGAGCTGCTGGACCCGTGCAGGCACCAGGTGCGGGAGCGGTGGGCGGTGCCCAGGTGGGGACAGTAGGGGTGTACAGAGGTAGGAAGCATGGGGGGCGTCTAGGTCTGGCCCGCCCCCCTTGGTCCCCGGCCCCGCCCCCCTTGGTCCCCGGCCCCGCCCCCTTGCTCTGGGTTGGGGGCCCTCCCCAGCGCAGGCTGCCCCACAGCGTGTGGGTTTCTAGTCGGTCAACGGGGCGGCTGTGGCCACGTGCAGCGCCTGGTCCCCAGGACTGGTGAGTCTTCTCCGGGGTTAAGGTCTGCGCACAACTCGCCAGCGAGCGGGGGGCGCAGGAAGCCCCGCGTGGGTGCTTCCGCATCCGGACTCCAGGTCCCGCTCCCCTATGGTTCTGCCCCATACTCCTCATCCCTTCCCCTCTTGACTCTCACCCCATCCCCCATACCCCTGCACCCCCAGCACTCATCCTGTTGCCTCCAGCCTTCAGCCCATGACGTCTTCACTCCTGCCTCCAACCCGTTGTCCCTCACCTGTCACCCCTTCACCCTGCCCGTCACCCCACCCTCTCACCCTGTTACCCCTTCACTCCTGCCCCTCATGCCACTGCTCACCCTATCACCCCATCACCCTTCACCCCTGCATCTCACCGCAGCCCTCACCCC